CCGCGATATTTAGTCGACTAAATAATGGGCTTAGTCGACTAAAAGTGCAACGAATGTAGTCGATTAAGGTGAGTTTTTAGTCGACTAAAATTCGCGTTTCATGATTTCTGAGTTTTGCCCATTTAGTCGATTAAAAGTGCATCTTAATCGACTAAATGGGAGCAGGATGGTGGATAGTTCTGGGGAGGGGCAAATTGATTATTAATTATTTAATGAGGGGCAAAAGGGTCAAAAAGCCCGGGGATGGGCTTCATGAACCAAGGGCTTTCAAAAACCTACTAGAGTCCAAACTCGACATGTCCACAAGTCCCCAAATTGTATTTCTCTTTTGTTGGTCTTGGGTTTTATATCGATAAAATACTTTAATTTTGATTTATTAAAGAGTTTTTTTTTAAATAAATATCACTTGGAACATGAAGTCTTGTGTTCTTAAATTATTGAAAGAGATGTTTTTATTTGTACAGTTTTTTACTTTTTATCATCCCTAACTAATTTTTTCTTTTTGGTAAAAATCATCCTTAAACTATTTTAATTACACAGAAACACATAATTAAATAATAATATAAATTAATATTAAAAAAATTTAAAAAATGAAAATAATAATTTGAAATATTTTTAAAAATTTATCATAATCATTTATTGAAACCATATATATTAACACATTATTAGACTGCAATATTTAAAGAGTATTTTTTTTTATTTGAAACTTTTCAGTATATAAAATTTATTTCAAACTTTACTAATTCAAGTATAGTTAGATTTTAAAGAATACAATTCTTTTTATATTTATTTTTTATTCTCAAGATATGACATAAATGTTGAAATTTTAGCCTCTCTTTTCTTTAAAAAAGCTTAGTTAAATATATTTTTATAAAAACTCTTATCATAAAATAGCTTTTTTTTATAATGAATAACAAAAAATTAACCGATCCTAATTACTTCTTTGAGGCAAGTCGACCCTCAGATATCCTCACAAACTTTAACTTTTTAAATCAGTTAAAAAACTAATCCAAAGTCGAGGTTTAGTCACAATTAAAACTCTTCGTCTCTCCTTAAATATGCATTTGGTGAGAATAAATCGAGGTTCTCTCCCCACTTACTCAGCTTGTGTCGTCAATTGAGTTATACTCATTAGATAAATAATTAAATGAGCTTTAAAATAAATTTTAAACTTAAAATTTTATATAATTAGGGATAGGATATTGTGACAACCAAGTAAAGTTACAACCAATGTTACTATCAATCAATCTCACCGTTAGATTGGTAGTAGTGATCCCACGGTCCTCATTGATCTCTTAAATAGCCCCTCTTTATTCGTTTCTCTCTCCCCTTCTCTCTCTCACTATACACTCTGCCGCCCGCCGCTGCCCATAGCCTCTGTCCCAACGGCGCCACCTGCCTCCGTCGCGCCGCCGCCGCTGCATTTTGAACAAACAAAGCCTACCCTTCAACTCTAAAGCACTCCTTTTAAATACGGAACCACTCTCCATATACATCGTTGTATCTTTCTGCCTTTGCTTTTTGGAAATGGAGGGTTTTTCTTCTCTTTTAACTTAACTCGCTTCATCACTCATTGACAGATCCATCTTAAAGATGTTGCAGACACAGTGAATGGAGAGATAAATCTTTAAATCATTGTGTATCAAATTTTTAAAAATTAGAGAGATGAGTAAAAAAGTGAATAGATAGCTTCTTTATATTATTCACAATTTTTAAATTTTTGGAAAAGAAGAGACAGACACACACGCAAGAGCTCGAATCTAGTAAATCGAATCTCGAATCTTAAACCGCGATAATATTCAAGCTCTTCGCTGGATGCAGCGGCGGCTGCGCGACGGAGGAAGGCGGCGGCGCGACGGAGGCAGGCAACGCCGTCGGGACAGAGGCTATGGGCAGTGGCGGCAACGGCAGAGTGTATAGTGAGAGAGAAGAGAAGAGAAGAGAGAGAGAAGAGAATAGAGAGGGGCTATTTAGTATTTAAGAGACCAATGAGGACCGTGGGATCGCTATTACCAATCTAACGGTGAGATTGATTGGTAGTAATATTGGTTGTAACTTTACTTGGTTGTCACAATATCCTATCTCATATAATTATTAACTTTATTTTTTAAGTTTTTAATTTTAACTTTAGCTCAAAAATACTTTTAACTAATTAAAAAAAATACCAAACAAGCTCTTAAAGCTCATTTGGTAGACAGTACACAAGTAGTGTACTATGATAAAATAGACTATTGCTCTTATCCTAAACAAGTATTCTGGACGGTGTCAAGATCAACCTAAAGGGGTGCTGGGTAGAGGAGAATTTTTTTTTTTTTAGTAAATTACTAAAAAGTGTTTGGTAGGTCAATTTTTTTTTGAAAATGTTGAGTTAATTTTACTGATGTTGTGTGTTAATTTTCTCACCACATGGGAAAAAAACAATTTCACCATTTCAATGGTTATCTTCCCCAATTATTTTACATAGAAAAGCAAATGATGGAAATAAAATTTCCTAACCATATTTCTACTTCACCTCCTACTAAATATAGGCAAATAATTTTTCTCACCCTATTTTCCTAGAAAAAAAAAATTTCACCTCCTACCAAACATCCCCTAAAAGTTGGATATTATACCCATGGAATATAATCATACGATCTTCTCCTTAGAACTTCATTGGAAACTTAAGAGTCAATCTCTACCACTCGCCATATGCTATGTTACAATGATATTATTGATACCTGGAACATGATAGATACGATTCTCTAACATATTAATTCTAAAAATACATTAGATTTCGATATGTTACGACATGTTTTGATATTAAATAATATTTTTAATTTATGTAATGTGTGTTATATTTAATATTCAATAATTTAATAAAAAAATAAAACTAAATTTATAACACCAATTAATTTTACAAAGAAACATAAGATGTGAATATTTACTATTATAGTTTTAAATTAAAAATTTCTTATATATTCCAGTGAGGTTTGTTCAGTATCAATTTTTTTTTTATTATATCAATTTTGTAAAACATCGATCAATTTTTCATGATATACAATGAAATTTCAAATATTATAAATGTCGGAGAATATCAAAGTGTCGAGAAGTATCAAACACGATACTTTAAATTTTTTGAAGAATCGATGCAACATAGGTCGTAAGTCACCACCATTATATCTAGTCACGAGTCATTGCCACCATCCACCACTACTGTCATTAACAACTATCCATTATTATTATCACAATCACCAATCTTCACCACCACCACTATTACCATCGCCTCCAACTAGCTATGATCATCATGACATTCTTGCTTGAGAAAAAATAGTGCATGTAATGTGCTTAACATAACTAATATTGCTCAATTTATTTTTTGTCATGTACGTACTTAATTATTGAAAAAACTAAGTTATTTACGCATTTTAATATATTTTAACATTTTTCAATAATTTAAAATATGTATTAATATATAAATAAGTCAAAAAAATATTTTCAAAACAAATTTTAAAAAAAAATTATTGAGTATGCATCACTTGACCGAATTACTTAAAATAGCTCAGTTTAGTAGTTTTGTTAAGTAAGTGTCTAACAGATATAATACAACAAAACTTGTAACTTGATCTTGTGTAACCAGTATTGGTTCTAAGTTGGTCAAGTTTTAAATATAAGTGTATACCCATGCATTTTTTTATGTTAATATTATTTAAATTAGTTTTGTCATGTTATGTATCTAATTATTGACATTTAATTTAAAATTTACTTTTAAAATCTTATTTTTTGAATATATAATTTTTTAGAGGAGCATTATTCTTACAACCTAAAAGTTTTAGAACCTCTTACAACCTATTTTTCATCATTGATTTCCGTCAATCTAACAGTTATAATTTATTGGATATTAATAATTAATTAATAAATATGACCCAATAAATCATAATTGTTGGATTGACGAAAATCGATGGTAAAAAAATAGATTGTAAGAGGTTGTAAAACTTTTAGATGGTAAGAATAACGCTCCTTTAATATTTTTAAAAAATTAAGTTACGTTATATATTTTAATATATTTCATTTAAAATTAAAATAATTTGATTTTTTAATAAGTTAAATTAAAAATTATATATAAATAAAATGTAAAATGTAAACTTTTGTTATAAATTTAATTTATTTATTAATATCATATCTTCACTAAGGATGGTATAACAAAATTTTACTAATAAAATAACATATTAATGTTATCAAAAATACAAAACAAAATATTAAATAATATCCAAGCGTGTGCGAATCGGATAAAACAAACAAACCAAGATTCAGAGTAGTTGCACCACAGCTCTCAATAATATCTTTATTTAACCAAAAATAACAACAACAAAAAACTAGAGTTTACAATGCTTTTAAATAAGTTACGAAAAGTCGAAAAGTCAAATAACAAAATTACTGATCCTGTAAAAATAAGAAATTTGAAATAATTAAAAATTCCCTGAAAACGATCCCAAAGGTTCAAAAGATGCTGGTGCTTATTGCAAAACACGATCCTTGTTCGGAAGGTCAATTTTAAAACCCGATCAAATTTAAACAATTCTGAGCGAATACATTATTAACTTATGAAGTTAATATTTTATTATTTCTACTCATTCACTCCTGTTATCCTATCATATTTTTCCCTAATCTCATGTCATTATTTTTTCCATATGCACCAAGCCTTAAGCATATCAGAAGTTAACCGCTAATATAAATTTAAACAAAAATTAAAATCCAAATACAGCAATATATTGATTGGGAATGTACTTCTTAGATTGGATTTTTACGTGTTTGACAAAAGACCGCAATCAACGTTTTAAAACATGACACATGACATCCTCACATCTATCAGAATGGCTGGTTGCCCACGCCACGGCATCACTTTACTCATGACTCATGACACTTTGTGGAGAACTTTAATTGATAATTTGATACGGCCCAAACATAAACTAGAAGAATTTAATGCAGAAGATGCTTCAAAGACTCTCGAGTCTAGTAACGACCCACCGTGCCCATGTTTAACCATAAAAATTCCTAGGTTCAAACAATTCCTTCTTTTCAAACTTGTCCCATGCATGTACCCAACTACTAGATCGTGCTTAGCTAAGAATTCGTGCCCCAAACCTGACCCTTTCGTCTTCGTTTCTTTGTGACATCTCTCTCTCTCTCTCTCTCTCTGACCGTTAGAGATGGCCTCTGCAAGTGTCACAGCTTTTCTTGCATTTCTTTTTCTGCATACTCTTTCAGCTACAAGTGATTTCCTATCTCCTATGCTCTCTCCAATCTATGGTTTGTGAATGTGATCCTTCCCTTGTAGCCACTTTTTCTTTTCTTTCCCTAATCGTCTGTCATGTGTTTTTATTAGATTTCTTTATTGGGATTCTGTGTTTGTCAGTTTTGATTTACTGGCTTGAGGTTGAGTGACTTTTTTTATCCTGGGTCTTCTCAAGTTCTTTTTTTTTTTTTTTTCCTTTGAATGATCTTGTTTCTTTAGATTTCTCAATTTGCTTTTGACTTCCTGTTTGTTTTAAACTTGAGTTGAGTTCAGAGAACGTCTGCAAAGAAGTGGAATGTGGAAAGGGAATTTGCAACCCTTCTAAGAATAGCACTTTTTTCTTTGAATGCGATTGCAATCCAGGTTGGAAGCAACCTCTTTCTGCTCATGATGAGGGTTTGAAGTTTCTTCCTTGCATTATTCCCAATTGTAAGAACTCTCTCCCGCCCAAAAAGAAGTTATGTATTCGCTTTTACTTTGTTGTTCTCTGTTTGATTTCATCTTAACACTGCATTGTTGGTAGAATGTTTGATTTCAGTTGTGTACTAACAAAGGAAAGATGGTGATTCCAGTTCCCAAGTTAATACGGTTTTTATTTTTTTTATTTTTCTGACTCTTTTTGGCTGCATGTGGTCGAAAAAGTCTCTGTTATTAGTAAAAGTATTTAGTATGTTACTATGTGGAAGTGTCTAAATCACACAAGTTCTAAAGCAATTAACTTGAAACAAAGGTGGATAGAAAGATAACTGGACGAAAACTTTACAAACTAAAATGCATTTCTTGCTTGAAGGGTAGAGATTTTCTTCACGTATATAAATCTTGTCAAAGTTTGTTCATTGGACTAAGATGTTAAAATAATATGAAAGCAAAGAATTAAGTCATGGTATAAAGCTCCAAACCATTGCATAACTTTAAAGATAATAAATCTGAAGTTTTCAACACATTGTAGTCTCATTATAAGTTGTAAACTAGAGTATTACTACTGTTTTTTAATGATATGTCCAACATTTTAATTTGCATTCAGAAGGAATCAACTGAGAGCGTTAAGTCAAAGAGCAGAATTGCAGCATGCTGCTTAAACAGATACTAAAGAATTAAGATAATGATTTCAAATTTGTGATCAGTACAAATTACTCAAGAAACCGGCAATGTGATGCTTGTGGCAAGATTGTTTTTAAGTGTAGTTTTTTTAACCTTTAGCAAGTGCCAAGTGAAACAGTGTATCTTACTAATGAACAAAAAGAGTGGTCTTGAGCTTTATCAATTTAATTAATAATTTTTTTGACATATTTTAAGCTTTGAATTGTGACTGATTAGAACAGTTCTTGAATTTTCTTGATGACTATTAAAAGTATTTTTATTTTGACAGATGCTGAAAGAGTTGCATGATCCCCTTTGTAGGTACTCTAAACTCCTCTTGCTCCCAAGCACATGCTCCTGTTCAACAAAAAACAAGAAAAGCCAATGAGTCAGTATTTGATGGTAATTGACAGATATAGCTATTGGCATCTCTGGTTTCATTTTTTCCCTCTTTTATTGATATGTTATATAGCATTTTGGTCATGTGTTCATGTAGCTTGCCACTGGGTTGATTGTGGAGGTGGCTCGTGCAATATGACATCCTTGTTTTCTTATAGTTGCAAGTGTGATGCTGGCTATTACAATCTTCTCAATGCCACTGCCTTACCTTGCTTCAGAGAATGTAAGAGTATAAACCTCAATAATAGTTAAATCCATTGGTTTAGGGGAGTCATACATTTTATCATTGGTTTTGAAGGGGAAAAAATTGTTTACTCTGCTCTCATTCTGCTCAATTAATTGATAATAACTTGAGATTTCAAATTTGTCTTAAAAGGTGCTCTTGGTTTGGATTGCTCCAATCTTGGAATATCAATGACGAATTCATCCACAGCTGCACCACCGACATCAGATGAGAATGGTAAGAATGAGTGTGAGGCCATAACTGGATGATTAGGTCTGCATTTGGGTTTTTCTAATTTTTTTCTCATTCAAAAGATAAACAATAAAAGTTGCATAACTTGGCCTTTATTTGATCCTTGCTTATATATTTTTCTTTCTAAATGTTCTTCAACTCCCAAGAGAAACTGAACCATGATTCAGAAAAACATAAACTTACCTTGGTGCTTCAGTATTAGACTCTTGGATAATCAAACTCTCGTTTCTGACTCTCTTGACAGAAATATGATCCAATTGTTATTATAAAATCAACCAGCTCAGTTTATTCTTAAGACCGTTAAGCTATTTATTGTACATTGTCTGTGTGTTTTATGACAGGCTATAAAATTTTATTGAACCTTATCCATGCAGTAATCCCTTCTATTTTTTGTGGATTCTCAGCTAGCTTGATTCTACGAGGAAGCTCCCTTTGGCTGCTTATGCAGATTATATTCGTTGCCAGTATACAGTTGCAGGAGGACATTGGTGCATGGTTTTAGCAGTATCTAATTATATGGTTTTGTTTTGGTGCACTGGATGTTCCTAGTCAATATGAACAAGGCAGCAGAGAGTTCCATCGCATTACAATTGAGTCATTATATGGTACAGAAAAGAGATTATGGCTTATGACGTACGACTTTCATGTGTTTTTTGTCTTGGTATTTCTTTTCTGTTTACAAATTTTTCCAGAAAATATACTTTTGTAGTGTTTTTCTCTACGATCACAGACAATAAAATTGATGATTGAGGATTTTTATCTTCGTGTCCTCTAACTTTATGTTTTGTCTGTATTCCGCCAGCTAGAATTGTTATTTGAATGTGAAGTATAATCATACCCAACAGTGAGAAGGGTTGCATCTAGCAATGCAATGCATATGAATGCACTGGTTTGTAGTTACTTTAGTGTAAACGGCTCTAAAGGTGGGGAAATTGAACTATTGAAGCAAGTTGTTCAACAAAAACTTGTTTTCCCTGTATATGCATATGGTGAGTCAAAAAAAACTCTGCAAGCGTACAGGAAAAGTTTGGTCGATTCCCCAATAAAAAAATTGGACAACAGCTATTAGTCATGGCTACCTGAGTGCTTCCTGTGTGTTGGACAACAGCTATGACCCAATAATGTTCATAACATGACCCAATTACTTAAAACAGCTTAGTTGAGTAGTTATGTTTAAGTAAGTTCGTCTTGTTGGAATCGACACAATCAAGCATACTCGATCGAAATAAAAAAGAGAGAAAGGAAAGAAAAACTGAGACAGCGATTTAACCCAGTTTATCCAACGTGGGCTATGTCTATTCTCTTCACCGACATTCGTTATAAATCACTCAATATACAAGGAGAATATAAATAGAATAAAAAATCCCAACTATTTATGGGTTCAAGCTCAAACTACTAAAAAAATAGAAAAATAAATTAAGCCAGAGACTCATAACAGTACAAGGTCCTGGGGGCGCTGTTTTCACATCCCTGCTGGGACGGCTTCCACGTATCCCCGCTCGCTTATCGGGAAACGAGGGACCTGTTGGCTTTCTTTGCGTCCTGCCAACAGGAGTCGTCGTTTGAATACTACGTATGAGCCATACCAAACACATATTTGATCATTCCAAACAAGTTGTTAAGTGTCTAACCGATATGTGACAACAAAACTTGTAACTTGATCCTTTTCTACTTGTCTAACATTATATTAGTTCTTGGTTGGTCAAGTTTTAAATATAACAAGTTCATACTCATAATACTTCCGGTAATTTCTTGAATGGCTATCAATAAGCTCGGTGGTCTCCAAGTGTACATGAAACCAAATTTATACGAAGTGATAGCGATTGCTCTTTGGGCAACTTCATTTTCTTGAACTAGATGGGCTATCTTAATTTTTAAGGTTGCAAATACAGGCCCATCAACCATATTAAGGGAAATTATGTAGAACACTTGAACATATCCTACTCAACCACCCCTACTAAGAGTGTATATGGGTAGAATTGAACTGAATTTTTTTGAAAAATTGAAAGAATCAAACTTTTTTTTATCCCAAAGTAATTCGGTTCGATTCAAAACAAGTTCAATTCGGTTTGAAAACAGTTTGGTTCTATTTGAAAACGGTTTGGTTCGGTTCGGAACCAATTTGGATAGAATTTATTCTGAAAAGAAAAGAAAAAATATATAAAAAATAAGAAATAAAGTAATAAAAATAAAAGAAGTCACTAAATAAATAAGAAAAATAGAGAGAAAAAGGAAAGGAAAAAACCTATGTAGCACCGATACCGACACGGGACACGAGACACGATACGGCACGACACTCCGACACGTTAATTCTAAAAAATGTTAGATTTTGACACGTTAGGACACGTTTTGATATTAAATATTATTTTTAATTTATATAATGTATATTATATTTAATACTCAATAATTTAATAAGAGAATGAAGTTAAACTTCTAACACCCATCAATTTTGCACAGAAACATAAGATATCCCAAATATTTATATTAAACTCAATAAAATGGTAATCGTAATCCAACGAATCTAATAGTTGGAACTAAAAATGCAACGCAACGCAACCTTTGAACCTTTTTTTAAGTCTCTACAATGCGTGATAGAGTGTCAGGGAGTGTCGGAGTGTCGGAAAGTGTTGGACACGACACGTCAGAGTTTTTGAAGTGTTTGTGCTTCATAGGAAAAAACAATTTGGTTTATGAACTCATTTTTTAAACCAGTTTAGTATATGAACTGATTTTTAAAAATCAATTATTTTAAATGTAATGCAATTCAATTCACAGTTTAGTTTAATTTTTTGATTGTTTTGCATACTTCTATCTCTTACCGACTACAACTACACATTAAGCTTGGACAGGGCCCATGGCATAATCTTGGGCCCTAAACTACAAAATAATAATAATAATAATAATAACAATATAATTCGAAGTAAAAGAAGTAAAATACAAAAAAGTGTCCCATCCCCAGTTCATCTTCAAATAGGTCATGGCAATGGCAGCCTGGTTGCTTGGAATTATTAGAGCTATTAATTGTGTGTGGTGGCCTCTATCTGGATTATGACGCGTTCTTCAAATTTAGATCACAAAATCCTGACCTCCAAACACATCTTACATGTCCCTTTCACTGTCTCATTCCCATCTCTTCTCATGTCGGAATAGTAATCAAAATGTCATTGTTCACCAAGTTTTTTATCTAGATGATATGCGAACAGTGTTATTTTTCAATCTGTCACGGGGGCAAGTTTGTTATCCGGTGTAACGAACTCGGTTTACTGACGTGTCACATTTTTAGTGGACACCAAATTCGCTACACAGTGTAGCGAACTTGGTTTTAACCAAGTTCGCTATCCAATGTAGCGAACTCCATACTTATTTTTTTTTAACTTAATACTTGTTATCCATTAGAAATGTGACACGTCAGTAAACCGAGTTCGCTACACCGGATAACAAACTTGCCCCGTGGCAGATTGAAAAATAACACTATTCGCATAGCATTTAGGTAAAAAACTTGGTGAAGAGTGACATTTTAATTGGTGTTCCTCTCCTGCCATCATAAATTGGAAGCTTACAAATTCTTAAATTGACTTTATACTTTTTTAATATAGAACAAAGTGCTTTAACGTTGAAGGCAACAGAAATTACTTATAAATAATAGGGTTTTATTAATCTCCTTCCACATAAGATAGTTATCTTATGTGGTAGAGAGAAAATGGGTGGGTCCCACCATTACAAGAAAAAAGAAAAAGAAGAAAAAAGTGGGGTGCAAAATTCGAAGTGAGAGAAAATGAGATAAGTTACCTCATGTAAAAGGAGAGTAATATTTCCCTAAATAATATTGCTGTAAAGTCAACGTATTGATTGAAATGATGAATAATTTAGTATAAAATTGAAATTTTGATCATAAAATCTCATAAATTATATTATCTTCTTTCGGAAGAATACTAGATTACACTATCTTCTCTTGAAAGAAAATAATGTAATTTGTAAAAATTTATACAAAATATTTGTAAACGAATATTTTCCCGTAAACAAATTATACATACATTACATATAAATAAATTTTGATCAAATCAATGGATGAACAAGACACTCTCTCCCCCGGTTCCATTTCCAATAGTCACTCTCACATATTGAAAATTGAATTACTGTCCTTTTCCAACACACTGTTTTCAATCACTCAATATAAATCCATAATGAAAGAGCTAGAAAAGTTTCTCTGAGAAAAACTTCACATCCCCATCACCAGGTAGCAACTATAAAGATAATCTAAGCTAAATCTGCAAAGCTATTTCTGTCCCATCACATATCTAACACCTTCCACCGCCACTACCAACTGTATGGCGCTTCCTCTCTCGGCGGCAATTATGTCCCAACATGCAGCATTCTTTTTATAGGCACAGAGTAACATGAATTCGACCCTCTAGCTGGTAACCCTCAAATTTGTGTTTGAAATTCTGGTTGAACCAAACCCTTATAATTTCTCTTGGTCCACTTCACTCGCTATATATTACAAAATGATAACTTGTGGTGCAGAGGAGTACTCTCTTCCCTCTACTTTGCCTTCGAACCTATACTATTACTTTGAATTTCGTGCTTGAATTATTGCTGGCTTGTTTTCCTCCTCTTGGCCCCTGCCTATTCTATTATCGGGCTTCGTTGCACTAATTACTTTCCATTTTTGCATTAAGTTTTATCTTATATAATAATGCTGGTACGTCCTTTTTTTTTTAATATAATGCAGGGTACTCTACTCAGATTTTTAGATGCACTTGAATAAATTATTATATCGAGTCAAAAATATTTAAGGTAATACATTGCGAAAGTAAAAATATTTTATAAATGATGATAGATTATTCTATATATATATATATATATATATATATATATATATATTGTCTATTTTTGCGTACCACTCTCCAATATTATTAGATCAAAATCTCAACTAATTTTATCATTTTTCTCTTTTATTAAGATTTTGATCTAATGATATTGCAGAGTGATAAACAAAAACAGATAAAAAAAATAAGTAGATAAAATAACTTATCACTTCAAATACCAATAATAGAGTGTAAAACTACATGATTTTTAAAAAATATATAATTTTAATTATTTATGCATTTGTTTCGATTTGATGATCTCTCACATCTCACAATAAACCACTCTTCGCATTACATCATAATTTTAAAACCGCAACCAATACGTGACCTAATGTTTGGAAGTTTTTGCAAATCAGAATGAAACCTAAAATGTCTCGTCATGATCAGACCGACGTACCTGTTTTTTCATAAAAAAAAAAAAATCAAAAAGACTAGTTATTCAAAACATATACATGAAGATGGATGTGTAAAACATCTCGTGGCGGAAGACAATCACCAATGAGTTAAGATTATATTATTTGTATCAAGTAAGTCCAATATTATATCACAATTTAAAATTTTAAGGTATTGGATTCATGAATCATCCCATTTATATGTTATTCACTTAGCTCATTACCAATAAATATGAAACTCATCACACTTAAATATTCTAACAATCTCTCCCGAAGTAAGAAACTCACATTAGTATGCTCCTCCCCAACTAAATACCTCAAGCCCAAGTATTCAACCCGTCTCCTAGCCAATCATCAGGCTAGCTAGAACCCAACCCGACTCTGATACCACTTTTTTCAGGCTAGTCTAAGGGAAGCTTGTGGCGGGGATCCACCACCAATTGGCTAAGTTAGGTCAATCATACTAAATGGATC